TTCTTTTCGCGTTCCCAGGACGAAGACCATTGGTGCGTCAGTTGAGAGGATCGGACGAGGGAAGAGAGAGAGAGAAGGAGGGGGAGAGAGAGGTGGGAGCCATGGCGGGGCATATTGGTTTGGGCCGTGGCTTGGTGGCGGTGCTGTCGCTGGTGGCCTGCTTATCGTGCGCTGCCGCGGGTGGGAGGAGCGGCGGCGGGGAGGCGAGGCAGCGTCTGGAGGTGCGGCGACACCTGAAGCGGCTCAACAAGACGCCCGTCAAGAGCATTACGGTATCTTCCCCTTCCTCTCCCCCCTGTGGTTTTAGATATGGTATCGATGAGTCCAATCATTTTCTTGCCCCTTTCTCATGGAAATTTTGGTTCGTTTTCCTGGAAAACATGTCAATAAATGCGTTCGTCCTGTTTCTCATAACGCATACGGTTATTAGGTAACAATTTTCCTTTATCACCCTTTCTTCCGTTCGCCTTTTTTACTATGCATGTTGGTGAACTCGGCGGAGGTGAGGTTTTTCCGGTTATCCAACAGCTAGAAAAGGGATTTTTTTTTCCCCTTGTGTCTTTCATTGCTCTCAGAAATCGAGCATTGTGATTTCTCTATCTTGTGCTGTATTTTCTACCTCAAAAAGAGGATTATTTCTTGTCAAAATGATTTCTCGCTTCAAGAATCTCCGGTCCAAAGGTCTTATTTTGATTGTGTAATTCTCTTGGCATTGTTTATTTAGCTCCAATGGTTCAAAGATGGTGCACTAATTTCTTTATCTTCTTATGTTTGGAAAAAACATCACATGAATAAGCAGAGTCCTGATGGAGATATTATAGACTGTGTGCATGTCTCTCACCAACCAGCCTTTGATCACCCTTTCCTCAAAAACCACACAATCCAGGTTTCTCTCTTTCGTCCACTCCTCACTTTCCTCTTCTTTTCAGAAGCTCCACCTTTGCACAAACTTTGGTGGTCTCTCTGCTTTACTAATCCCTTTTATGCTAATTTTTTTTTAGATGAGGCCAACTTTCCATCCAGAAGGCTTGTTTGATGAGAACAAGGTGACATCACAGAGGAAATCCCCCTCCATAGCTCAGCTATGGCATCAAAATGGGAGGTGTCCTGAGGACACCATTCCCATTAGGAGGACTAGCAGGGATGATGTGTTAAGGGCCAGCTCTGTCAAAAGATATGGGAGGAAGAAGCACAGGAGCACCCCAAACCCCTTGTCTGTTGACCCTGACCTTCTCAATGAGAGTGGGCATCAGGTATGGTGCAGAAAAGGAACAAAGAAATAATACTTAGGAGCAAAACTTTATATTCTTCTTTTTTGCTTTCTTTGGGTTTTTGGCTTTCTCATGGTCTTTTTTCTTTTTGGTCTCTTTGAGTAGCATGCAATTGCTTATGTAGAGGGAGATAAATATTATGGAGCAAAGGCAACCATAAATGTCTGGCAGCCAAGGACACAGCAACCTAATGAGTTCAGCCTGTCTCAGCTTTGGATTCTCGGGGGATCTTTTGGGGAGGATCTTAACAGCATTGAAGCTGGTTGGCAGGTTATGTCGTACTTCAAGTTAACTTGCTAAAATTTCAACTGTCTTGAAATATGGAAGCTCCTATACATGCATTAAATCCTGCTTGCATATAATCAGGTCAGCCCGGATCTCTACGGGGACAACAACACGAGGCTGTTCACTTATTGGACTGTGAGTTTAACATTCCTTCTTCTTTTCCTTATCATATATATATATATATATATATATATATATATATATATATATATATATATATATATATATATATATATAGAAAAAGGACCATCGTATCTTTGTTTCTAGGTTTTGTTGTTACTGCATAAAAAGTTATTATTGTTTTGCTCTACAATGTGAAAGAGATGACATGATTCAGACATTGTTCATCTTATCAGATAGTTCAACTTCTTAGATGAGATAGTGCAATCATTTTGTTACTAATTCTTCTATAACTGGTTGTCTTGTAATACTTATTTTACATGAAATTTCAGAGTGATGCATATCAAGCAACTGGCTGCTACAACCTACTGTGTTCTGGGTTCATTCAGATCAACAATGCGATTGCAATGGGTGCCAGCATCTACCCAATCTCTAACTATGATGGTTCACAATATGATATAAATATCCTCGTTTGGAAGGTACAAGCAAAGCTCACATGCAATTGTTATTAAAAACAACAAACAGCCAAATATCAGAGAATCTATCCCATCTGTTCTTTTTTTTTTGAAGCATACTTGCAGTATATAGAATTCTGCAGCTCTTATTGTTTATGACTTTCTGCCTCTGACTAATGGTAATAAAATGGTTCAAATTAACTAAGCAGGACCCAAAGGAGGGGAACTGGTGGATGCAATTTGGGAACGGCTATGTGTTGGGTTACTGGCCTTCTTTCCTCTTCTCTTATTTGGCAGACAGTGCCTCCATGATAGAGTGGGGAGGGGAGGTTGTGAACTCAGAACCTGACGGTGAGCACACATCCACTGAGATGGGCAGTGGCCATTTCCCTGAAGAAGGGTTTAGCAAGGCAAGCTACTTCAGGAACATTCAGATAGTTGATGGGTCTAATAATCTAAGGGCACCTAAGGGGATTGGAGCCTTCACAGAGCAGTCAAACTGCTATGATGTGCAAAATGGAAACAATGGTGAATGGGGGCAATACTTTTATTATGGAGGGCCTGGTAGAAACTCTAATTGTCCTTAGAAATCATAATCAAAGAATCACTTTACCCTTATAACCATTCTGCTCAATATCTTCCTCTAACTCTAGGCAGCTGTGAAAATTGGTCCTCTTCCTCAGAGGTTTTGTTTTTTTTTTTTTAACTTTGTGCTACTCTCCCATATAAAGCTGGAGAGGTGGAGGGTAGGTTTCTTAAGAGAAACAGGGCCTGTGATAGTAGTCTCTTCTATGTATTTGTTCCTTTGTCATTTAACTCCTCCTTAGAGTTATTTGGAGCTGGGTTGACTTACCCAAAGAAATGTACCTGGATGTTGATGCATTTCTCAAAAACCTGGTTGTGGGACTCATGTTAATGGATCATATTTATGGTTTTGTGAGAGAGGACATCAGGAATGATCTGTAGTAGATCATGGCAAATTTGTGTATGAGACCTCAGAAAAACAAGTGGATATCCACATGGTGAGAGGGCAGATTTATCTAGTACATGGTTTTCTTTTATATTTTATTTTATGGTATAAGTTGCTGGTGGCAGGTTGTAAAGAGTTCAGAGGGGTGTGGCTGCTGCTGTGCATGTGGGCTGCTTGACATGGCTTTTTGACATGTGCATGTGGGCTGTTGAGCATGTGGGCTGCTTGACATGGCTTCTTGTACCGCAACACAAACTTTATCCTTGACAAAACTGGTTGACTGCGTGTTCCTTCGCTGACATTGTTTACCCACTGCATGTTTTAGACATTGTTTACCCACTGCATGTTTTAGATTCCTCTCAGTTATTCTACAGCCCTTTCAATGTTACATCATGGCTAAGGAGCAAAACATAAAATAAGTCATGGCAAGCATGTCACACTGTACACTTTGTTGAATTCAAACTTACAATCTCACCTGATATTATTGTCAGACATTTAACTATGAGGTGCCAGCTTTTGTGTTCATGTGGTTCCCGTAAAGATGCAATTTCTTGGGGTCATGTGGAGGCAATCAAGCCTTCTGTACTTGGCTAGACAACGAGATCAGAAGATTTTGATTCTTATCATCTGTGAGCCTTCCCACTTTTTGGTACATCTCGCAATTATTAAGCCTGGATGATCAGATCCGCCTTTTCTTATCTTTCAATAAGCTATAAATGCCTCCGTCAAGGGGTTCAAGTAGCTCAGATTTGTTCAGAACTGCCAATGCTACTGCTTGCCAAATCTTGGAGGATTAGAAATGGATTGCAAGTAGTACACGCACTTATCATGTCCAAGCATGGCACTCCTGTCCCTGCAGAGGAGTTAATGGGGTACTGCAGCTTTGGCTCTTGAGTCTACTCATCTGCTCGTCACTTTGGGACTTAAAAGAGGTGGGTGATAACCGTTCACTCGGGGTGATCGCCTCAAAACACCAATGGATGGATCATCCCAAGCGATCAAAGTTCCCTCTGGATTGCATCATTGATCCAATCTATTGCTGTTCTTGTTTGCTCATTTCGCCAAAAGAATCTGGATCAGTGGGTTGTAGTTGCAGAAGATAATTTGTTTCTTGAAGCTGAGATTACTATTTTAGAATGTCACCATTTAGTAGGTTCTACTCACTGCTGCTTTCTTCTTCCTCTGTTTCTCTGTGTTCAGTGTGGGATTTCTGTTTGAAATCTGTGAAACACAGCCTAACTCAATATAATGCAACAATTTATTATTTTTAACTGTATATAACTGTTAACGAATCTTTTATGGCTTTTGTTCTATAAAAGCTAAAATCTAACCATGGGATTAGGACTGGAAAAACTGTCTTTGCTGTGATGTTTTAAACGATAGAAACATCAAGACGAGGAAAACATTTTAAGCCGCAAGCAAAGTCATCAAAAGTTAAAAGAAATATTGAGCTTAGAAAACATTTAAGTAGCAGGTAAAGGCATCAAAAATAAAAGAGAAACATTTAAGTAGCAAGAAAGTAATCAAGCAAGCTTCACACAATCTCAGCAAAAGATGGGGAAACTCAATCGTCATCCCAAAAGAGATGCCGTAATGTTGAAGAGAAAAGTATATGCCTTGTGATAAGGCATATTTTATATTTCAGCCACGTCACTATCTGCATTGCATCACACCCTTGCCAAATCAACATCGCATCTGAGACCCATGCAGGGAGGCACTCCCTCGGCAAGTCTCGTCTCGAAAAGCTCGGGACGGCGTCGTATGGCGTCGTTCCGTGCACACCTGGCGATGATCGAACAACGGTACCATCTCGTTACGCGAGGATCAATCGTCACACCAAATCTACGTACGACCGATCCCCGTGCAATAATATAAAAGCCCCTGACCGGCATCTGGCCAAGGGACGGAGAAAAAAAAGGAAAAAAAAGTGACCACTAATTTAATCTACAAGAGGCAAAAGTCGGGAACCCCTCGAGAGGGCCTTTGTGCAGGAGCTCGGCCACCCTCGGAGGCACGGTCGTCCCAACTGAGAGACGTCTTCCCAGAAGACGACGTCGATAGCCCGACCCTCGATTCGGTCGGCTCCAACACTTCTTTCGTCCGACTGAGAACTCCGGAGATCGATCCGTGGACCAAACCGTGCTAACTCCTCGGCTACGGCGTATTAGTTCACTAACATTTTTGGCGCTAGAAGGAGGGCCGATGTCGTAGGAGCGTCCTGCAAGAGCTCACCCCGAGGGAGAACTACCAGCTGATCACCCCCCTTTCAGACTCAGTGATCAGCTCCTCCTCGTCCTCAGAGACAGAGGCATCCCGGCTCCGACGTCGAATCTCTACTAGCGTCTGTTTAATGATCCAGGACTCTCTCCCCCCGGATATACTATGGGACCCTCGGTCGTTTCACCTAAGGCCTTTCTCGGCCTGGCCAAGCAAGTGCAAACCTTGGTGGGAATGATGCAAACGATTGTCCCGCTCATCCCGCAGATTGTGCAGTTAGCAGCTCCCCCGATTGACCCGACACCACAAAGGCCAAACAAGGAACGAGTCAGAATAGGAGAAGCCTGAGAGCATACTACAACCCCAATAAACCTTCCCGAGAAAAGCATGCTCGAACCTTGCCGAGCTGCCCCATCACTCCTCGAGCCCGACACCTCATCATCAAACTCGACGGATGACTCATTCAGGGTCTAGTTGTCCATGGTCAACCGTGCGGCGAGACAGGCGAAAGTAGCTCGAGTGGATCCCCATTTGCTCAGGAAATCCAGGACAAGCCTGTGCCACTCAACTTTAGACTCCCGGCATTAGAGACATATGACGGCGGTTCCAACCCCACGGAACATGTCGTCACGTTTCGGGCTCAAATGGCCCTTTACGGCACCTCCGACACCTTGATGTGTCGGGCATTCACGACTACCTTCAGAGGATCGGCATGGGTATGGTTCAGTCGATTACAGCCGTCTTTGGTCTCTTCTTTTGATTAGCTTGCAAGGGAGTTTGAACAAAATTTCCTGGTTAGCGTGCGGCCCAGGCCTGCCATGGCCACATTGCTCACGTTATCCCAACGTAAGGACAAATCACTTTCCCAATTCGTTGCATGCTTTGCTACTGAAATTCGGGGGTTTTCAAACGCTCATCCCTCTCTAATCATGCAAGCATTTTTGATGGGTCTGAGACCCTTGAGGTTCTTCTAGTCACTGATCGAGAAGCCACCCGTGACCATCTCCGAGATGCTACAGCGCACCAACTAGTACATTATCGCTAAAGCCCTAATAGCAAGAAGGCACGACGATAGCAAGAGGCAGAGGGTGGAACAGGCCTGAGGAGCAGCTTCGGGACCACTAGTAGTGCAACCCTGCAGGAGGTCTGATTGGCCCGAGCAACTGCTCCCAAGGCTGCAGCCCCTGCCTTCGAACACTTCTCGTACCAAGATTTTTCTCCGGATCAGGGAGAAAGGGCTCTTGCGACAACCGAACCCCTTGAAAGCTACTCACAAGGACCAATCTAAATATTGCAGGTTCCATCGGGATTACGACCATAATACGGAAGACTGCCACGACCTCCGAAATCAAATTGAAGAGTTGATCCGAAGAGGTCACCTCAGGCACTACCTCAAGGAACCAAGAGAAGCATCGCTGCGCCCTAGGGGTCCCGTCGAGAAGCAAATCGACGTCATCACTAGCGGACTGGCTGCAGGCGACAGCAACACAACGACAAGAAAGGCCTACGCACACAGCACGGTGGAGAAGCGTCCCAGACCTGAATTCGAACCCGAAATCACCTTCGGAACCAAAGAGGTCGAACGCTCCCACCACCACGACGCTTTGGTGATCTCCATTCGGATCACCAATGCTTGGGTGAAGAGAGTGATGGTCAACACCGGGAGCTCCGTCGATGTGCTGTACCTCGATGCCTTCAGGAAGCTCAGCCTCACTAATGAGGACCTCACCCCGATGGCATCGACGCTTACCGGATTCATGGGGGATTCCATCTCCCCGCTCGGGACCACCATCCTCCCCATTACCATCGGGGAAGAACCGAGGGCCAAGACGACGATGACCACCTTCATGGTAGTCGACCTTCCCTCGGCCTACAACGTCATCCTCGGCCGCATGACACTCAATAAACTAAAAGTGGTGGTCTCCATCTACCACCGAGCCATCAAATTTTCGACCTTGGTAGGAGTCGAGGTATCCCGAAGTGATCCTAGAGAATCAAGGCGGTGCTATCTGACAACGGTCACTCTTCCAAAGAAGTCGCGGCCCCAGCAAGCCCCGGATCCACGTGAGGAAGCCAAGATACCAACACACTTGGAACCACCTAAACAACTCGCCGAAGTATCCTTGAAGAGGGACCGACCCGACATGACTGTTAAAGTAGGAACAACACTTCCTAAAGCAAAGCAGCTCTAGCTCATCGATTTCCTGAAGAGAAACGCTAATGTGTTCACATGGTCCTCAAAAGATATGCCCGGAATCAATCCGGAGGTGGCCCCAAGGCACGACCTGTGAAGCAGAAACCGAGAAAGTTCGTCCCCGACCGGAAAAAGGCAATCGGCGACGAGGTAGACCACCTTAGAGAGGCTAGATTCATAATCGAAGTGAAATACCCCCGGTGGTTGTCAAATGTAGTCCTTGTTAAGAAACACAATGGAAGTTAGAGGATGTGTGTTGACTATACCGATCTGAACCGAGCATGCCCCAAACACTGCTATCCACTCCCGAGAATAGATCAGCTGGTAGATGCCACAATAGGTTACGAACTTCTCACGTTTATGGACGCATTCTCGAGCAATAACCAGATCTAGATGGCACCACAAGACCAAGAGCACACCGCCTTCATCACCGACAGGGGGGTGTATTGTTACAAAGTAATGCCTTTCGGCTTGCAAAATGCCAGGGCAACGTACCAAAGAATGCTCAATGAGCTGTTCAAACAACAACTTGGGAGGAACATGGAGGTATACATCGATG